ATATCATATATATTTTAAAAACATGGCCAACCCAAAAACTAAACCCCATTGTTTAGTTTGCCTTTCATTGATTCTGAATGAATTTATCGGCCATTTCTTTGTATGTTTCCTTTTTACGTCCTCATGAACGCTTCCATTAATTCCTTATCTATTAAGAACACTTATCCTTTTTCATACACATGGCAAAGATTTTACTACATTTTTTTCTACATGTAAGTTGTTTATGAGTTTTGTGCAGTTAAACCTACCAATGTTTCTTTCTCAGTTGAATCTTTGGCGTCTGACTCAGAAAGGCCTCCCGCATGTAACTAACATGTAAAACTCTCATTTTCCCATAGTTCCTCAAGGTTTGGCTCTTACACGTGTCATCATCCAGAATTTACAATGTTAAGTTGTGAGATGAGGCTTTAATTTATGTTTCTTAAATGGTTAGCTAATTTTCTCAATGTTTTTTTACAAAGTTTATCTTTCCCCATTGATTTTAAATTAATTTTTAAAAAATCATATATTACTTATTAGTTAATAAAATTCTGTGTTAATTCAAATAGCCTCGGGCTGGTTTTGGGAAAGCTGAGTTTGTCACACTGATCTGTTATGGTGGCTGCAGGGTGACCAAGACAATCATCTTCTCTGATGGACAAGACAGCCCTGTTGGGAGTCAGATCCAGCACTGTCCCCATCACTTGTGCGAGGTAAGTGGCACACGGCTGCTGGAGCCAGCCACGATGTTGACACGCATGCTCCTTTAGAGTTACGGGGGATGAAAGTCGTTCTCCATCAGCCCCGCAGTGGCCCACCCAGGGCTCCCGCTCCTGAAGCTCAGTAAGGGGAACTCAGCACAATTCCGCAGGGAATCCTTCCACGTACCCCTGGGCTGGCTTTCTTCCACTTGCAGGAACCCAAGGATGAGATCACCCTTCACTCTCGCATCTCTACACCCCTGTTACTCAAAGTGTGGTCCCCAGACCTGCAGCAGCAGCATCCCCTGGAAACTTGTTAGATGCAGACTCCAGGCCTACTGGATGGTGTTTGCACTCCAGCAAGATCCCAGGGGGTTCATATGCAGGTTACAGTCTGAGAAGCCCTGCTGATTCCTTGTCTTCCGTGACACCTGTTCCCTACGACAAAGTCCAGCTAGACTGGCATTTCTGGCACTTAAATGGTACCAACCTTTGGTAGATTTGCCCCTTATGTTCCTTTGGTCATTTCTGTAGAATCACGCAAGTTCAGTTCACCCTCTTAAATTGGTGTCCAGTAGGAAGGACTCTGAATAACACCTTCTGTCGGCTCCTCTCAGACAACCTGGCTCTGTGCTAACGCGCCACCCAAAGGCCTCACCCAGGTCTCAAGTCACCCAGGATAAGTGCCCAAGGAGTTTACTTACTGCTGAAAGGGAATAAAATGTTGCTTTTCTTCATCATCCACTTTGCCATGTATGATATCGGTAATATCCATCACTAGGAAAAAGAGAAACTTAATTAAAGATACTAATTGCTTCAGGCCCCAGTGAGTAAGTATGGAATATTACAGTATCAGCGACCGCAGAACGCTGCAGGGAGAAAGATGGCAAGCAGGGATGTTTCTTTCATTTCTTCACCACCAGTGACTCCCGGTGTGCCCACGCCCCGCCGAGCAGGACAGCAATTCATCAGGAGCTCAGGCCGGCGCGTGAGGGTTCGCAGATCAACCCTGCAGACCACGCCCCTTTAAAAAATTCTGCTAAACCAAGTTACTGAATTCTTGAGTAACTTGACACTGACACTCTGTAGTAAGCCTGAGTGCAAAGGCAAGGGAACACATGTCTTTGGCAGGAGTGTCAACAGAATAAAAGATCTGGGAGAGGAACTTAAGACTTGAAGTGGTCCACTGTCCCTCTGACATCTGCTCACCTGGGGTCCATATAAACGAAGGGCAGGCAGGACACGAGCAGAGCAGACCAGGGGATCACACAGGGATCTGCTCCTTCGTGCATAAGAAGAGCAATGCAGAAAGCACTGGTCTAACCCTACCACGCGTGCTAGCTTATTTATACCAATATTATTAGTCCTACTTTAAGAGATGAGGAAACTGACCACAGGAAAGGCAGGCAGTGCTCCCTAGATCAGAAGTTTAAGGTGAAAAAGCCAGGGTATGAACCCAACAGCGATTACAAGGCCAAACCATTTAACCTAACCATGCCTACTGCCCAGAGAATGGATAAGAGGCCCACTCACTCTACAGCTGCTGAACTTAGAGGACTCATGGCAAGAGGCCATCCCTTCATTAATAAATTATCATCTGGCCATAAAACACACGCCAGTCATCCCCTCCCCCAGGTAACCCGTTGGGAGATTAGAAGAAGTACTGACAGAATGCAGTACTATTCAGCCATAAAAAGAATGAAATTTTGCCATTGGCAGTAACTTGGATGGACTCGGAGGGTCTCAGGCTAAGTGAAGTAAGTCAGCCTCACCATCCACCTGACCCACAGGTCGGCCCTGACAACACGGAGTGTCTGGGCCCTCGTCCCAGGAGCAGAATTAT